ATACTTGCTACTCTCAACATGTAACACATATTTGTCAGTGCCAAGTCCAGTAATACATACTTGCTACTCTCAACATGTAACACATATTTGTCAGTGCCAAGTCCAGTAATACATACTTGCTACTCTCAACATGCAACACATATTTGTCAGTGTTAGATCCAGTAATACATACTTGCTACTCTCAACATGTAACACATATTTGTCAGTGCCAAGTCCAGTAATACATACTTGCTACTCTCAACATGTAACACATATTTGTCAGTGCCAAGTCCAGTAATACATACTTGCTACTCTCAACATGCAACACATATTTGTCTAGTGTTAGATCCAGTAATGACATACTTGCTACTCTCAACATGCAACACATATTTGTCAGTGCCAAGTCCAGTAATACATATTAGCTACTACTATCAATACTCAAAGTGGATTTTGTAGGGAAAATATGACCAATTTTAGGAAATTTTAACATAAATATAGGGTTTATATGGCTACTTTGGTGGCAAACTACAGGGAAATATCACTTAAAACCAAAGAGTGGAACATTACAGGAATACATTTCTACACTAAAACTGAGCAATTAAATAATTAATTTATTAGAAACTGTGTCATCATGGCGTTACACTATACCATTGAAATAATTGTTGTATTAGTTGGTACTTTGAAGTATAGAACTGTGTTATTTGCTGCTGTCAAGCTAGGTACTGTGTTAATTGCTGCTGTCAAGCTAGGTACTGTGTTAATTGCTGTTGCCATATCTAGTACTTGCTAATGCCAAGTCTGAAACCATTTATTTGTTGCTTTCAAGATTGATGTTGCATCTCTGTTTCTATAAGTCTGTACTGCAAACTTGTAGTAAAAGATTGGACTGCATATCTTTTGGTGTCAATATTGGTACTGCATATGTGTTGCTATACAACTGTACTGCATAACTGTTTTAAAAGCTGGTATTGCATGTTTGTTACTGGAAAGATTAGTATTGTATACTTGTTTTTCTAAAGTCTGCTGCATATTTGTTTTCAAGGCTGGTACTGCAAGCATGTTCAAATTAGGTGCACACCTATATAATTGTTGGAGATGTTGCTGTTCTACAACTCTTTGAAACACATATTAAATTCTAAGTTATACTTAGTTCATCTACAGATGTTGCTGTTCTACAACTCTTTGAAACACATATTAAATTCTAAGTTATACTTAGTTCATCTACAAAAAACATAACTTAGTTTCAAATTGACATCATATGCATTAGTTATATCTGGTCCACTGCTGAAGAAACAATTAATTTTGTTGAATTACCATTATAGCTGAAAGCCACATTCCTATGGCTAGAACTTTTCTTAAGTCAAACCGGTCTCCAAGTGCACCACTGATAAACAGTCCCTGAACAAAAAATACAATCATTTATCTCACTGTGCTTAGATAATTATTTAAACCAGACACCAATATCTTAGTAGTTATCAAAGAGGTTACATACAATTATCAAAAATCATTTATGTAAACCAAATAATATACTTGAAGCCACACTCTTTAAACATACATGCATGTATGTACAATGTATGTATACAATGTTTGATCCTCCAGAACTATATATAATAACTTAGGTCTGTTGTTCAATTTAAATGAAATTTTGTTTGTAATTGAGCACAAAGCTACACAAGGGTTGTCTGTACTCTGCCCACCACAGGTATCAAAACCCAGTTTGTAGCATTATAAGTCCACAGATATGCGGTTGTGCCACTGGGGGGCATTTTAAATGAAATAATGAAAATGAATTGTTACTTAACACATTTCCTGCACAAGTATTTTCAAGCAGCAATAAAAACAAAACTTTGGCTGTATTAAATGAGCATTCATCTTATTTTTCTACATATTATTCACTTTATTGATACACAATCCAGTTTGTTTACGCATTCAAACTTTATTGGAAAGCATAAGCATATTTTGTTTGAAATGACTAAAATAACTTTGTTATTAATTTTATGATTACAGGTTTTTTTTGTAGTAAGTCATATTTACAGTAAATTATAACAATATATGATTACCACAGAGTAAGAAACCATGAAGACAGTGTCCAAAGTCCCCAGAAATAAAGAAGCATCATAGCTGTCATCAAACATGTGACGCTTGTTCCATTTCTGTACAAGGAAAAATAACTTTTAAATTGCTGAAAAGCATTTCCAAAATCTTGAGTGATCATACTTTCATAAATAATATAGTTTTCCTTAAGATTAACAATATGTAAATTTAAGAAAAAACTAGTTCTGTACAGAAAGTCATCATTAAATTAAAAATATTTTTTAACTTATAGCTCTAAAAAATGTGTAAGCCAAAAATTACAAATTAATGATAAATGTGCGAAAACATGTCAAAAAAGGAAATGATGGAATATTTTTGACTCAATGAAAAGTAAACGTTTTGGAATTTTTTTATCTCTTGTAATATATTCTTTTACAAAGATTATAAATATTAAATATTCATATACAGGAGATACATCATGAATTTTCCCAGTCCATGACCCACATGAGTAACCAGTTGGAGAAAGGGATGTTTTAATATACCTTAGTAAAGCCAAGTATACATTTGACCCTCATCTTACAAAATGGATGCATTTTTGAAAATAGCACAAAATACCATAACTCGAACCATTACATAGCACAAAATACCATAACTCGAACCATTACATAGCACAAAATACCATAACTCGAACCATT